AGAAGAAGGCCGTAGTGATAGATGTAGCAATCCCAAGCGATAGCAACATCAGGAAGAAGGAACACGAGAAGCTCGAGAAATACCAAGGGCTGAAAGAAGAGCTAGAAAAGATGTGGAAGGTGAAGGCACAAGTGGTCCTTGTGGTAATAGGAACATTGGGGGCTGTGACCCCCAAACTGGGAGAGTGGCTCCAGCAGATCCCAGGAACAACATCTGAGATCTCTGTCCAGAAGAGTGCAGTCCTAGGAACAGCTAAGATACTGCACATTACCTCAAGCCCCCAGGCCTCTGGTATATGTGTGTGTGTGTATAAACCACTGGTGGAGAGCATCTTACCTTAGGGAGTCACAGTGGTACAGTGGTGTGATGTTTACTGCTGTCGCCTCACAGCAAGAACAGCCCCGGCCGACCCAGGGCCTTTCTGTATGGAGTCTGCATGTTCTCCCTGTGCCTGCATAGGTTCTCTCTGGGTACTCCAGCTTCCTCCCACAGTCCAAAGACATGCAGCTTAGGTTGACTGGAGACTCTAAATTCCCCGTAGGAGTGAGTGTGAGTGTGTGTGGTTGTTTGTCTACATGTCAGCCCTGTGATAGACTGATACAGACTGGTGACCTTTCCAGGGTGGACCCTGCCTCTCACCCAGTGTCAGCTGGGATTGGCTCCAGCCCCCCTGCAACCCTATTCTCGAATAAGTGGTATAGATAATTGATGGATCTTACCTTATTTATTTTCAGATTACATCCCAGTTGTCAGTCTGTTTTGTGACATCCATATGCCCTGTTCCGAGATGAGTTTTACTTTAGGAAGAGAAAATTTCCCTTAAATATTAATCAATTTATATTAATAATTAAACAAATACTCTTGTGGCAAAACTCACCTTTATTTTTTATTAATCTCCTTAGTGGTTGGTGACTGGTATCTCTGTGCACAGTGTTGAGCTACAAAGAAAGGTATCATGCTTTGTAATTTTTGTCTGTGCAGCAAAATACTTTCAACTATGAAAGATACTGTACAGCAGCAAATGATTGGCCTCTACTGCCAGCGATGAATGCACTTGAGAAACCGGACTTCACAGACTAATTAGCTACAATTACCTCCGTTTGGTTAGGTGATATATCAGAGAGCCTGAGTAAATAGAACGCCATGAAAAAAGCCCCAGTTGAACATATGTGCCTGGATATGGATAGAGTTTCATCTAGCCTTGAGCATCAGGTATATGATGCTATGTCTGCACTACACACAGGTCTTGTTAGTTTTAAGAAAAACTTTGAGTCACAAGAATAATGATTTCTTATGTGGTTCCGTATCATTAAATAAATTTACCTTGTCCTCTACTATGTTTTGATTGAACAGTTAATATAAAGTTATATTGGTGGTGGTAGCCCATATCATCTGTCCAAATCCACACCACTTGATGGCAAGATAGGAATTCATATTCATTCTTAATAATTATAATTAATCTTTAGTTCAGTGTCCAGATATTATGGAGAGAGAGAGCTGGCTGACTGATTTATTGGCTTTGTTCAGATCTTATCAACAGACATCAAACGACAAGGTGTTTGTGTCTGTGTAGAACAAGCAGAGGATGAGTCTGACTTCATCTTTTTTTTTACTTTTTAATATAAAATATGAAAATATATACGTTGATGGAATATTTCTTTCTTTCTTTATTATTATTTATTATCTTTAAGAAGTGGCGGAGGGAACTACTGATACTGAGCAGCTGCTATCACTTTCAGTGGCATCATAGATTGTTTCAGAAGCACCACCACTGGCTTTCTGTACTTCTGTGATTGTAAGGGCTGGAGAGAGTAGCCCAAGCCTCACTGTTTCACTGCATTCTTTGCCCAAATGAGGCTCCTCCATTGTCAGAGGTAGGATGTTGTATCCCAAATCTTTTAAAAAATGTCTCACAGTAAGTCATACTTGTGTACCCACACTATTCTTATAGTACAATACAAACAGATTTTTTTGAATTTGTTTAAAATATTTCTAAATATTGTATATACAAAAGACACCCATTGTATTTCTTGGACACTTTCCAGTCAAGCCAAATCATGTCCATACTTTATTTTCAGCATGGACAAACACAGTAGAAACTGAAGCTTGTAGCCACACCACATCAGCCATAAATGTGATTCCCACCATCACTGGATATCTTATTTCCTTTTAGACTGTGTCAGTTTTGCCTCCAATAAAGAGAGGGCTTATTATAAATATTTATCTCCACAGTCCAACTGTCATATCTTTCACTCGTCACTACAATATAAGACAAGAGCCACGCTGTGTTCTCCTGCCACTCATTCTTTATCTGTCAAAATATATTTGCTTCCACATTTGGAGGGCAGCAGTGACAAGCTGGCAGTTTGTGTGTGTGGAATTGTGGCTTCAACCATCAAAGCAAAACAAGCTGCACTAATATGGCATGATCTGTGATTCCCCTTATTATCTCACTGGGCCTCTGGACTGGCAGACCGAGGTGGTGGTCCCTTTTTTCAAGAAGGGGGACTGGAGGGTGTGTTCCAACTATAGGGGGATCACACTCCTCAGCCTCCCCCAGAAAGATTATGCCAAGGTACAAGGGAAGGAGAATTCGACTGATAGTCGAACCCCGGATTCAGGAGGAACAATGCAGTTTTCGTCCTGGCCGTGGAACACTGGACCAGCTCTATACCCTCTTCAGGGTGGTGGAGGGTTCATGGCAGTTTGCCCAACCAGTCCACATGTGTTTCGTGGATCTGGAGAAGGCATTCAACCGTGTCCCTCGCGGCGCCCTGTGGGGGGAGCAGGAGCTTGCCGGCAGTAAGTCAGACTTGTTTTGAGTGCATGTTGGACTCCGGCAGGGCTGCCCTTTCTCACGGATTCTGATCATTATTTTTATGGACAAAATTTCTAGGTGTAGCCAGGGGCTGGAGGGAGTCCGGTTTGGGGACCACAGGATCTCATCTCTGCTTTTTGCAGATGACATTGTCCTGTTGGCTCCATCAAACCAGAACTTCCAGCATGCACTAGGGTGGTTTGCAGCTGAGTATGAAGTGGCTGGGATGAGAATCAGCACCTCCAAGTCCGAGGCCATGGTTCTCAGTCGGAAAAGGGTGGCTTGTTCCCTTCAGGTTGGTGGAGTGTTCCTGCCTCAAGTGGAGGAGTTAAAGTATCTTGGGGTCTTGTTCACGAGTGAGGGAAGGATGGAACGGGAGATTGACAGGCGGATCGGTGCAGCTTCTGCAGTAATGTGGTCGATGTACCGTTCTGTCGTGGAGAAGAAAGAGCTGAGCTGTAAGGCGAAGCTCTCGATTTACTGGTTGATCTACGTTCCGACTCTCACCTATGGTCATGAGCTTTAGGTCATGACCGAAAGGGCAAGATCTCGGATACAGGTGGCTGAAATGAGCTTCCTCAGCAGGGTGGCTGGGTGCACCCTTAGAGATTGGATGAGGAGCTCGGTCACCCGGGAGGAGCTCAGAGTAGAACCGCTGCTCCTCCACATTGAGAGGAGCCAGCTGAGGTGGCTCGGGCATCTGTTTCAGATGCCTCCTGGGCGCCTTCCTAGGGAGGTGTTCCGGGCATATCCCACCAGGGAAGACCCAGGACACGCTGGAGGGACTATGTCTCTGGGCTGGCCTGGGAACGCCTCGACATTCCCCCGGAGGAGCTGGAGGAAGTGTCTGGAGGGAGGGAAGTCTGGGCATCTTTGCTTAGACTGCTGCCCCCGCGACCCGGTTCCGGATAAGCGGAGGAAAATGGATGGATGGAATTATTTTATTGTATTGTAAGTCTGATCAAAATTTTTTATATAAATGAAAAGACTGAAACTGACCAAATGGCGTCAGTGCTCTCAGACTTCCTTGTTCGTGGCACTCAGCCCGCCCACTGAGTCCTACTGGACATATAAACCTTATATGTAGCTCACAAGTATATAATTATTTTCAAAAAGGCTCTGTAATTTCTTAAAACAGCTGGCCAGTGTAGTTCTTTCCCTCCAATTCAATCATGACTCAGAGGGAACAGTCCACCATTTTCAGTAACACACATTTGGTCTCTAGTCGGCATTTGGTGCAGCAGGACTGTGTATGTGGGACTGAGTCAAAATAAACTACAGTATGTGAAATGTGTTAGCCAGTGCAACAGTATGGCTCACTGATATGGTTTTAATGATTTTTGGATGTCAGTGGAACTCTGTGCCACCTTTTTGCTTGATCTATTTCTCAGTTTCTCTCTTAGCTCCTAGCTGCTGTTACTGGCTTTAGTTAATGGTAAATTGTAAATTCTATACAGATAAGAACTTGAAAATTTGAGATTTTTATGACAACCAAATCTATAATTTTATACTTCATAGCATGAAGGGCATGTTAGACCTGCAATAAAACACTGTGCCTGCTCAGGCACTATTTGTTTTATTTGCTTTTTACTTGTTACATCAAAATATCACAGGTGTAAAAAGCAGCTTTCTACTTCATTATGGTTACTGCCACTAGTCCTCATGGTCCAGGTTCTGTTTTGAGTATCACCCCCCCTTCTCCTCTTCCCTCTCTTTCTAATCATTTACTGATCTGTTAATTTCATTTATTTTTGTCTTATGAATGTGTTTACATATATATCTAAGTGTATACATAAGTATGTGAATGGAAAAGTATATAGTATATGCTTGATATTGCTTTATTACTTTTTCCCCTTTCCTTCTTTGTTATTTTATTACTACAATCATTCCTTTACATTTATACCCCCGCCCCTTTCCTAGTTTATTTGGTTTAATTCTATTTTCCCTTAAGTAATGAATATCAGTCTGCATAGAGTTGGATACACACACACTCAATACCCTCAATTAATAATCCCTTTGCCTCTTTTCTTAATGTCTGTTGTCTTATTTGTTTCATGTAGTATGTTATGTGCTTTGTCCTGTAAATGTCTTATTTTGTGTTGCAAAAAAAAAAAAAAAAGATATCACAGGTGTTTTTCCACCCCATCATGGCACAATAGATAAAGCAATTCAGTGAGAGGGCAGAAACATGGCCAAAATTCTGTCTGTGGTCAAAATTAACACCATACCGAGAATGCAGCTAAAGCTGGCCTTACACTAGAAGACTATGATAACACTCCAAAAAGATGTTTAAAAGACTAATAGTCTGACACCCTCTCACAGCAAAAGACAATGTGCCATTAGTGTTTAGTCATAGACTATGATTTTGCATGGTCACTATTTTCTCTGGAGACCCCTATGCTATGCATCCCATATGCTCCTGCAAAGGGATGGCGAGGTTTGTCCACCTCTTGTCTTTCTCTACTCTATCACGGTACAAGTTGGATGAGAATCAGACAGTCTCACTCCACAACTCCACCGTTTTCTCCTCCTTTGTAACGGTCCAACAGAACCGAGTTGTCTGAGGCATGGAGTCTCTGGAGTCTGTGTCATATCCACCCATAGATGTATTATGCATTTACTGTTGTTTCTGTGCCTGCTATGCTGCTTCATGTTTGGTGCTGGAGAGAGCTCACCCACTGGATGTTTGTGTTCACATCACTGTCTGCATGAGCCAAGACTAAAGAAGACTAAAGGAATGTCAAGGTGAGAAAAAGACTTAAACAGCTCAGATCTCCACCTTACACTAAATGGCTGAGATGACACGAGTGTGACACAACTGTAGCATGGCTCTAATGATTTTAATCCAATGTTGGAAATTTGTCTGTGACTAGAAATCACTTGAAAAGTCATTACAGTGGAACCTCGGTTTTTGCAATTAATCCGTTCGAAAAAGTCAGACGAAAATCGAATCGTACGAAAACTGAAGCAATATTTCCCATAAGAAATAATGTAAATCCAATTAATCCGTTCCAGACACCCAACAATATTAACAAAAAATACATTTTATAGAGAATAACTATATTTTTACATACAGAAAACAATGAGAAATAAATATAAATGACTAATGAAATTGATAAATGAACATTTAACATCACTTTTACCTTTATTGAAGACTCTTGTTGGCATATGGAAGAGGGCGAGGAGGGGAGAGGGAGGAGTAGAAGCTATTGTTTGGAAGGGGAATCCCCCTCCATAAGGACTTCATGTATCAAGGCCCTATCTGGGGTTACTTCCCTTCACTCATTTCTTCAGGGAAATGAGTGGCCGAGTCACACGGTCAGGTGGACGAGTTTGGTACGGACTAATGATGCTGAACTGACCAATCAACTGTACGAAAACCGGGACAAAATTTTGACGAAAAAAGTCATTGAAAAATGAATTGTACGAAAAGTAGGGCATACGAAAACCTAGGTTCCACTGTATGTGTAAGGCGGACATTAAATGGAAAATTCTTGTTTTATAGAAATCCAACTTGAAAATTTCATTAAAAAATGTTTTCCCTGGCAGGATGCAAATGTTATGCTTGACAGAGTAGGTTTTGGAAGAAAATGTACCAAAAAAAGTTCTAAAAGAAAATCCAGTTTGTCTTTTTGAAACCCTTCAGTGATGTAATTTCCTCTTCGTGATGTTGCTTCATGGAACAGTACAGTATTTTAATGCAGACATACATGGGTGTGACGAGTTGAAGCACGAAACATATGGACACACATGCTATAACAAAATATACTTTTTATTAATACATTTCCCATAAAGAGGGTTGCATTTATGTTCCTAAAAACAAAAGTCTGAGATTTATGCAGCTTTCACTGTTACCACATGTACAGTCAGATCGGACATGAGAAAATGACTATAGCACCCATCCATTATCTATACCGCCTAGTCCCAAACGGGGTCACGGGGGGCTGGAGCCAATCCCAGCCGGCTGCGGGCAAGAGGCGGCTTACAAACTGGACAGGTCGCCAGTCCATCACAGGGCTAACACACAGACCAACAACCACTCACACACACAATCACTCCTACGGGCAATTTAGAGACGCCAATCAACCTATGCTGCATGTCTTTGGACAGTGGGAGGAAGCTGGAGCACCTGGAAAGAACCCACGCAAGCACTGAGAGAACATGCAAACTCCACACAGAAAGGCCCCGGGTCAGCCGGAACCATCTCGCTATGAGGGAACAGTGCTAACCACTGTGCCACCGTGTGACTATAGCATAAAAATTGTAATTTATTTATTATTTATTGTAATTATTTAAGTTTGACTTTCAGCTAATAATGTAAACTTGAATTAATGTCTTCATCCATTGAAAACCATTTTGACAATTTTATACTGCCTCATTTTTTGCCTTTGAATGAAAATGGAATGACCCAAATACAAGTGAAAAGGCACCATTCTGATTAGTTCACACAGCCTGCTATACATTTTTCAAAGTTGGGAACTTGCTTTCACACATTTTCAGGACAACAACAGGCCTGACACCATCAAAGATGTAAGCTTAAAAAGGGAAGTTTTGAAACAACATTAAAATTAGCAAGCCCTGTGACTGGTGACCTGTCCAGGGTGGACCCCTCCTCTTGCGGAATGTCAGCTAAGATTGGCTCCAGCCCCCCGTGACCCTACAACCCTATTCAGAATATGCAATATAGATGATGATAGATGGATTTTAATTAGGATTAACTATCTTACAACTACCACAAATACCACACATGAGAAACAGTATAGAATCTGCTAGGAATGTAACAATACTACTATCACAGTACAACACTGTCATGTTATAAGGTCCACAATACAATATTTGGAGCTGTTAATTTGTGGCAGACAAGCTGGATCCAGCACCTCTCAAATTGTGGCCAACATCTATGTTGATGGATCTGGCACCTCATTTACATATAAAAGACATTAAATGAATAATATATAAAAAGTCCAAGGTCATTAGACCTACTTGTACATTAACTTTTTGTACAAGTAGCCTTTTACAACAGCATATTAGACTAAAAATGGAATAATTAAATACAATAAAAATAGGCAGTTAGGTGAATTACATCACAATGTAACCAGCCTCTGCAGGTCACACCGGGTCAGGTTGACAGTCAATGTAATGTTATGTTAGCTACGGAGTGAAAATCCAAAAAGAACAAGTTAATTTGCTAAAGCTGCAGGACAATGCTAGTCAGAAATCAGAAGCTAACCCATTTATAAAGTGTACATTTGTTAATGAAAAGGTTAGTACAATCCAGTCTGATGATGACGTCACTGGATTTCAGACGTAGGACTGAAGCAAAGCATGAAATAGCATGAACGAGGACTCCTGCCCCATGACTGCGTTGTTTTAAATAACTGAAGGTAAGAACATGTTTATTTAATGTTACTGCATTATATAGTCTCTGGTGCTTTAAATTTGTTGCTCTAATGCTCTCAAAATAATGTTAATGTGTAGTGGTGTAAGAAGAACCAAATATGATGTTGGGTTTTTTTACTGGTTGAACAAATTAGAGGCCGTAGCCTCAGAATCCTAATGTATTTAGCATCACTGGCGCTCGACATCTGTAACTCACACTTGCAAATACTTGCCATCTTGTGTCACTACAAACACACAACAAATGAAGTTTTACCTCTAAGCTGCTCCCTTTATGTGGAAACTATGCAAACACACAGGTCACTGAGGAAAAGTTTTCATTCTGGAACCACCTCTCTTAACATTGACATGCCAGGTCTCTCACCAAATGATATTCTGGGACCCTATCATTTACAAATTAAGCACTGGATATTTGTCACAATATAAAAAAATGAAGAAAAAAGAATAACTAATGCCCTTTATGAAATAATAAATCAACATTTCTGTGTGATTTTCCTTTTAACTTTAAGTTCTCCTGCTTTCCATCTTTATTAAAATTTAAGTAGCTAGCATGTGCAAAAAATTGTCATGAATTATCATTGATACTGAATGACTGAACTGTTTGTACAACTGCAAAACAAGCCATGCAGCATTCAGCAGCAGTCCTTTTATGAAATTAAATAAAATATTATTGCAGCAGCTGGATCATGTAAACAAAACAAGTCACACTTGTAGTGGAACATAAATGTTTTTTAGTACCCCTTAAGCAGGTTTTACTTTTTCAGTTTGGTGGCCATGCTGTCAGGTGTTTGGATTCTCAGTACTGGACCAGATGTAGCGAGTGTCCTTCCTGACCATCGGGGGAAGTTGTGAACAAATTGCTAAATGGTGCATCAGAATGAAGAAGGCGCAAAAAATACACTCGGAAGAGTCACATAAAGGTGAGATTTGTACTTTACTGAAAGTGTTTTTCCAAACATCATGGTCTACTTTTTCAAGAGAGAATACTTTAAGGGTTGTTAAGTGGTTGGTTTTGCATTTGTTAAATTGTTACATGCAGCCGTGTCCAGGCTGTTTCTGCAAGATGTATCCAGGATTGTCTCGGTCTTAAACAGGACTAGTATTGCTTTCGTCATATCTTGGCTGAGCAAGCTGCTAAGGATTTCCAATATGCATGTGCCCTATACTTAAGTAAATAGCAAGAAAGTTTTTATCTATTTATATTTGTAAGTTTCCTTTCCACCCGTGTCATTTCATGAAATGGGAAAACTGAAATGCTGCCACACAAGAGCTCCAAAGGTTAAAGATGGAGCATCTGCTATGTCAGTTTCACATTCTGGGACATGAACGCTGTTATACTAGCAGAATAATCATATGTAATATCCTGGTAGATACTGTCACAGTCCCCTGATGGTATCAAGACTTTTTTGTCGTGATATCGTGAAATTACAAATATCGTTACGTGCCTTGAATCTGGATAACCATTCCTTCCTCCTCTAGCCTCTTATACCAAACTGCGATGAGGACAAGGTCATAGTCACTCTCTTTTCCAAATAACAAATTCCAGTCTACAATAAGCATATCTCTGAGGTACTACAATCTCTACAAGTGCATGTGAAAGGTTATAATTACCCTTATGAGTTTTACAAAAGCCAGTTTACCATTTCACATATAAATTTCAATAAATTCTATCACAATGATGCAAAAGACAACCTAAAAGAGGGACTAAAAGAAAAGAGAAACCTACACAAGAAATAGTTTGTCATTTCTACAACTATCCTGTACACAGTTCAACATTTTTGTAGGATCAGAGTTTAAATGTATCTTTTAAAATTTAGGTTGTATGCAATAATGTACATTAGCAGTGGAACTACTTTTACAAAAAAACATACAGTTGGAGTCAAAATGATTCAGCCCCCATTGCAAATTAGGTGTACTGGAAAAATGTACACACTTTCAGCTGTTTGCAATGAACACATCAAACAAGAGCAATTGAAATAGCTCAACACAACTAATACAATGTGGTTTCTCCAAATTCAACACAAAATGCAACTTTAAATGGATTCTGCAGTCTCAAAATTATTCAACCCCTTCACGACAAGTGTCTTAATACTTAGAGCACCTGCTGCAAACCTGATGCATAGCCAGACACCAGCTTCTGGCAGCATTCCTGAGGAATCTTAGGCCATTCCTCTGGGCAATGGCCTTCAGTTCTATAATATTCTTATGTTTGCCTAGTGCAACCACCTTCTTCAAATCCCACCAGAGATTTTCTATGGGGTTCAATCAGGTGACTGTGACTGCCAGTCTACAATCTTCCAGGACCTCTTCTGCAACCAAGCCTTGGTGGACTTTGAGGTATGCTTGGTATCATTGTTCTGTTCAGTGATTCCCAAGCTTCAGCTTCTTCACAGATGGCATGATGTTTTCTCCTAGGATTTCCTGATACCTGAATGAATTCATTTGGCCTTCCACATGCTGCAGGTTCTCAGTGCCAGAGGAAGCAAAGCAGTCTCAGAGCATCCCTGAGCCACTGCCATGCTTCACTGTAGGCAGGTTGTTCTTTTCGGCATATGATTTCCAAAATGCCTGTGGCTTATTTATATGATTTTGAGCATATTGGAGCCAACTTTTTTGTGCTTTTGGGTCAGTAGTGGTGTATGCCTTGGAGTCCTGGCATGGAAACCTTCAGCATTTAGTCTGCACCTTACTGTGCAAAGTGAAACCTCAGTGCCTGTTGCCACCAAGTCTTGCTACAGGTCTCTTGTTTTTCAACACCTGCCTCCTCAGAAATCTGGTTGCAGCTGTTGATAGCTTCCGGTGTCTGCCATGTCCATGGAGAGTAGCCACTGTTCCTTTAACTATGAACTATGTTTCCAACAGTGTCTCTAGAAACATACAGTGCCTTCACTATATTTTGGATCCTTTTCCTTGTGTGTGAAAGGCAATGATCTCTTCTCTTAACTTTCTTGACAATTCTTTTGACTGAGCCATGTTTCTAACACGCAATCAGACATGACACTCCACAAACCCCTTAGCCAGTTCAGGTAATTGATGCACTGTATCTCAGAGGGAAGTGTCTGGAGAGAGGGAGGTCTGGGCATCTTTGCTTAGACTGCTGCCCCCGCGACCCGGCCCCGGATAAGCGGAAGAAAATGGATGGATGGATGTATCTCAGTCAAACCAGGTGCAACTAATGAAGCCCTGAATAGTTGCATCAGGTGTGGTTGAGACAACATCTGATTTACAAATGTCTGCTCTTATGAGGGATTCTGTTCAGGGGGTTGAATAATTTTGAGACTGCAGAAGTTAAAAGTTGCATTTTGTGTTGAATTTGGAGAAACCACTTGTTACATTAATTATTTCAAATGTTCTTATTTGATTTAATCATTGTAAACAGCTCAAAGTTTGTACATTTTGCCAATACACCTTCACTGGGGGTTGAATAATTTTGATTGCAACTGTAAATATTATATACTGTGCATATATGCTATCAATGACAGCATTTAGATACTGTAGATAATTGAACTGTGTGTGTTTGTGTGTGTGTCAACTTTCATTATTCTGCCTGTCAACCACTGACACATAAATGATGGAGATGATGCAAAAGTGAAGCCAAAGTATTGTAAATACAGCAGCTGCCATCTAGCTTTTTTGCAACCAGATTCTGCACTGTAGCAACCACAAGTGGAGTGACAGTATCAGGCCACCAATCAAAGCTTAAATATACCTCTTTTTAAATCATTTTTTAAAAACAACTTACCAGAGAAGTAACCAGTTGTAAACACATCAGCATGATAATATCTACCAAAAACCACAGAAATAACTTCTGGATAAAATGTATCTGATTTGTACTTTGAACTTTTAGTGTGGCTCATGTCCCATCCACTAACACGGAGGAGGCGGGACTCGTGACCTGTACTGCCACCAGCCACCTGGGAGCTCTTGGCCTGTCCGTTGTTTTTATAGTCGTTGCTGTCAGCTAAAGCCAAGTTGGAAAAACTATTTACAAATGCTACACATGGTGTCTTTAAATGACCTTATCTACAATATATCTACTGGAAAAATGTAAAACAGTAGGAACTGCTGTCATGACCTGAAGGTGTCCAGGCATTCAACAATGTGACAACAACAGGTTGTCATAGACCCCTGGTGGTCTACAAAGGCATGGCAGGTGGTCCCTGACCATGCGTTCAGTAATGTAGTTTCACTGTAGGCATACAATTTTTAAAACGCATTTCCATGTGTTAATTATAGTTGTGAATAATCAGATTCATGCAAATATAGAGAATTTTGAAAAACCAAAGTGACTTTCAGGATTTAAACAGTGTCCATCCAGTCTAGTCACCCCACTACAGTGGTCCTAAAGTTGTCAGAACGCTGGTCCCTGAGTCCAGTTAGTTGACAACTCCTGATTTAAGCAAATGCAGTTATTACCCTCTGATATGTATTTCATGGTTTCATGTGTTTGTTTTCTCAGCATTTTAAAATTTTAAGAACTATGTGTTTGAACCAAAAACAAAAGGAATGATTCTTTCAGTTGGCTCCAAATAAAAACATATTTGTCCTTAATTTTATCATGTTTTTTGTTTCATGTTGACCACCTCTTCATAGCTTCTGTTGTGCATTTTTCTCATTTGCCTCTTATTATTGCCATGAATTAGCATCTCCTGCCCTTTCAGACTCTGCCACTCTCACCTTCCCTGCAGTTACCTCAAGCTGTGCTCCAGCTGACTGTGCTATTGTGCTGCTTATTACATAGCGGAAAGGGAAACCATCTTAAATGGAGTGCAACCGGCACATAAGATTGCTGATATGAAGCTGATCTTCATGTGTTGATCATCTGAAAATAAAATCTGTGGTATTGCCCAAGCTCAACACAAAATTCCATCCATCTATTAACTATACCGCTTTTCCTCTGAAGGATCACAGGAGGGCTGGAGCTGATCATAGCTTACAGGAAGGGTACACACTGCCCAAGTCCCCAGTTTATTCAAGAAAATAGTTTTAAATAATATTCAAATGCCTAAGTGTGGGGTCAGTGTTGCCAAACTACGTACAGAATTAAACCTATGTTTAACAGGGGGGGGGTCAGTGTTGCCAAACTACGTACAGAATTAAACCTATGTTTAACAGTCTCTGCTGTGTGCAGTTGTTTTTTTGTTTATTTGCTACATAAACATTTGATTCATAAACAGAGTGATGTGGTGTATGCAATTAAGTGTAGTCAGGAGTGTAACGACTTGTACATTGGTGAAACCAAGCAGCCGCTGCACAAATGCATGGCCCAACACAGGAGGGCCAACTCCAGTGGACCAGAGTCAGCAGTCCACCTCCACCTGAAGGACAAAGGACATTCTTTTGAGGACAGTGAAGTCCAGATCCTCTCCAGAGAACATC